CAGTTATCTAATGTGTGTTTTGAAGGACAGCAGCCGTGAGTGACATTAACCTTTGCCTTACTCTTTTCAAGTCCCATCAGCTGCTCACATGAGAGTGGTCACTCACTATCAGGCCATAGAAGCTAAAGAGGCTAAAAACCCAGACTGTTCTAAGAGCAGTTTTCACAAATGCTCTTGCCATTCAAATGGGTTCAAATTGAAGAAGTGGTGCTGATGTTAGGTCAGCACTGTTTAGCATTTTTGTCCTTAGCGTAGGTCACAAGCCTTAGCTTCAACCCTCATTAAGTTGGCACGGTTGAGAAATTCGATTAGCTCGCACATGATCTCTACTTGTTAAATTGTAGGTTTAATTGTGAAACCAAGAGGCGTATGCATTTTATTCTGATATTGGATTAGGAAACCAGATTTTCCCAGGAGGAATGCTGTAACTATTGTCAGCTGATGGAGGCACTGTCACAAGGACTTTAGATTACTCTGGAAACGGTTCAATACAGTATAGTACGGTTTCTTCTAGCCTCTGCTTTAAACACAGAATAGAGCAAATGTGCTGCCCCAGATTTGTATGATATTTGAGAAAAAGACAGCTAAGCCTGTTTCACTTTAAAGGAACACTGCAGCCAAAATGAAAAATGAAAAATGAATATCTGATTTCAGTTGTACAACTGTAGTAACTGCCTTCAATCATTGTTACAATAGATGAGAGCAGGCATACGGCACTTCCCTGTCGTCTGAACCACCATGTCCCATTTTGGGTGAAAACAAACCTGGTAAGAGTGCCGGTGCCAAATAGGAAATACTAGTGGCACCATGCCTGAAAGTGGCTGCGTCACATTTTGCACGTCTAACAATAAAAAAAAGTTTATGATTTTCTTTACTTCCCCAAAGAGCAAAGGACAGCCAAAGGTCATCCGCAGAGAGGATGAAAATGGTGAACTGCGGGCCCTGGCCAGTCAATATGTGCACGTCTTGTGGTAAACACTTCATCACAGGCAAATTAATGATATTAAAGTCAACAGTTATAATGTTAAAAGTCAAAGTAGTGAATGTTGATGCTGCACCAAAGGGGTAGTACATAGAACATGGTGAAAAGCCAAGGAAATCTTAATGTAATGTTAGCCTTTAACAAAAGGGTTAAGTTAACTAAAAGCTAGGTCGCTAGCAGCCAGCTGGCTTTTCGTCTGATTAGTTGAAACATAGGTACCGAGTAAAACAGCTTCACCTGCATGTTCCCTAAAGTGATTGTCATGATCATCATCATACTAATCCAAATGTAAAGTGTGTCTAAATGCTGCATTAATGCAAAAATCGAATTGTAATTATGGCGGCCACTGAGTAGGGTCATTCATCTGCTTTGATGAAGACCACTCAAAAACCCCTATTTAATTAACTTTTTCCTATATAATGATGCTGATCATTGATTGGCAATGACATGACAATTTTGCCTGACTAGCCATAGGATTTGGGCTCCTAATAGCTGTAAATCTGTAGGGTATTCTTACTTTATGACATTAAACTGTCAAAGACCTTGGAATTTGTATTTACCACCAGTCAAATTAGAGGGGCTGCTTTCTCCCAAAAAGGGGTGGAGGTATTACGCAAGACCAAAGTACCTGGATGTGTTCTTCTCATCTATGCAGACAATGGATTATTCAAATGACAGAAATGACTCAACAGTAGCACAATAATATAAAAGCTAAAGTTAGCAAAGTAGCTAGGTGTCTTGATGTTTTAGCTCAGTTTGGCTTCTTTTCTCTCTCTAAAGGGTTAAAAAATGTGTCTCCAACATCCATTTTGTGCTGAATAAAGGTAGAATCGCTGTTTTCTTTACAATTTTTGTCAATGACCAAGGTAAGAGCTATGCTATTGCTAGCTTGGTTGTGTTTGTTAGCCTTTAGTTCAGTTGAAAGGGTAGCAGTCAGGGTGATGCATTTGCAAATGCATCCTGGGTATTGTAGTGTGAAAAAAAGATACAACTGCAAATTTAGTCAAACTGATGAGGCTGACAGATATAAAGCTGCCCTAGAGAACAGAGCTTTAGGCCAAAATGCCTCTTTTAAGTCAACGTAAATCATCAGAATGGATTTTTCCGTCTTACCGTGACACATTTCTGTGTGAAACAGGCTACATGGGTAGAACATAATGTGGGCATAACATGATTTTATTCTTCGGGATTTGATTGGAGTGTGGAAAGGTGGTGTTCCGAGCGAACATGACGGTCAGCAGAATCTGTCGGTTTTGTAGAAAAGCCAAAGGAAAAAAATAAAAATAACCAGATTTTGTCAATAAATAAAGTACAAACATATTTTGATATGTATTGTCTGTAGATTCTGAAACATAATTCATTCATTTTTAATGCTTTTAATGTGTATTTTTCACTTTTTAAGACGTAGATGTGGCGAGCAGATGTTTAGCAGGCTAGCCTGTTAGCGTCTGTTTTGCTCTCGCTTTTCTTGCACTTTCACAGCAAAAGCAAAAAGCAAATACTTCAAGAAAAAGAAATATGGTTAAATAAACCCATGTACAAGTATAATAACCTAACATTTGAGCAAAAGAGGGACTGTGCGTATGTCTGTGTCTGTGTCGCTTCAACATTAGCTGACCCTGCTCACAGCGTCGCAGCCTCTCGGTGAGGCAGACAAAACTTAAAATGTTGATGCAACCAAACATCAAATGGTGTTTAGAGGTGGGAATGAAATCATTACAGTTCAATGAAAGATTACAGAGAAACAAACATTTTGTTTTTTGAATGTTATGACACAATGGACTGTGATTAATGTGACCATGGACATGAACTAACAAGGTAATAAAGTTCCATTTGATTTCAGGTTGACTTTAAGAGCAGCTTTAAGACTGTAGCTAAATACTACTGTTCTTGTTCTGCACCTAACCCAACCCTAACCTCTTTTATTTTTGCTAATAAAACTGCAGTTTTTGTTAAAAGAAAGTTTTCAGCCTTGGGACATTTGGTCCCCAAAATGCTTTAAATACATGACCACAAAACACACACAAACACTAAGACAATAAAGGTGTGAAGATTGATCTTTGGAAAGACTGTTCTTACTGTACAAGTCCATACATGTTCTGTCTCTGGGGCGAAACTTAGTAACCCAATATGTATCACAATGTGATTTTGTCACTGTATGCAGAAATACTTATTGTACTTTAAACTGAGCTTTTAAAGCTACAAAGGAAATGACACTTTGGATTATAAGCTTAATAAAGTTTGAATGGATAAAGAGGTGAATGCATTATGCAAACAATTGAAGTGAGACTAAACTTTGTGTATGCTGCTGCACTGCTTGCTGAATGTGCTCAGTATAAAATGTAACACTGAGTGCGTTTACAAGCACTTAATGATTTCTGCAGTTATCCGATTATTCAAATGGTCATGTAAACACCATACTCCAATCTAGAAATCTGTTAAAGAAATCTGATAAAGAGAGCTGGATTTTAGCTCAGTAATCAGATTTTTCAGTGCATGTGAACTCTTACTCTGATTTCTTTCAGATTTCTCAGTCTGCACATGCGTGAGAACACACTGCGGTACCAGAAATAAGCAGCTAGCAGTTTGAAGCAGTGCTGAAACTAACACGAAGAAAAGGATTTAAATATTCTTCATCTTCTATATTTTCAGTTTTTAAAAGCTGCAGCATGAAGTTTGAGCTATTTGCTTGTTGTTAAGCAGAAATCTGATTACTGCCTGACTCATGTAAACCCAGAGTTTCCCCATTATCTGATTACTCAAGTGCATGTAAACGTGTTGATCGGATTACTGACAAAATCAGATTTTCTGCAGTTATTGGATTATTAAGTACATGTAAACGCACACAGTGATCAACATACGAGGGTTGGCATGCTTCACTTTGTGTTGGTTGCATATTAGCCATGCGCTGTGTGTTGTGAGAAGATTCTAGATACAAGGTACTAAGTTAAAATATTCAGAAAAGAAGCCATTATTTTGAGAAATAAGACAATATTTTGAGAAACTTTGTCAAATTTTTGATAAACTTTGTCAAATTTTGAGAAAATGTCATAATATATATATATATATATATATATATATATATATATATATATATATATATATTTTCATTGTCTATAATTTAGAAACAATAATGGAATCAAACTCATTTAAGTAGTCTAGAGGTCGGAAGGAAAGAAAGTTGCTCTGGTTTCTTGAGCAGATGTAAACAAACTGGCTTCAAAACCAGAGATGTTACATAGTCAAATAAACAGTTCAGGCACACTGTGCATGGGTAAAAAAGTCTATATTACATTGATTATGATAAGGCTAAATACTTTATTATTATTCTTATTCTTATTCTTCTTATTATTATTATCAGTAGTAGTAGTAGTATGTCACAAAGTACAAATAATAATAGCAGTACAATTATTTACAGCAAATGTCAGCAAATTCAAGTACAAATATAATATTAATAGGCTCAATAAATAAATAAATTAATAAATAAAATAGGATGAGGGCAGAGACAATTACATTTCTCTAGGGTCTGTCTATCAAACGATTTATAAATTAATAGTAACTTTTTTGCATTTTTCCTTTTCATGTACTCTGAAGTTCTGCAGTAGTACATTAGCTCCTTGTGGAATATGTAGCAAGATGGTGTTGTTTTTATATACCATACCCACAATAAGTTAACATTCACAACCAATTCAGGATGCGTGTCTTGGAAGAGCATTCTATATATGAAATGTGTGTGTGTGTGTGTGTGTGTGTATGTGTGTGTGTGTGTGTGTGTGTGTGTAGTTCTTCAATCTTAAAATCATCTGAAATATCACTTACAGCGTAGCCTCAAATACACAAGACTGCAGTCATTGACAAGACGGTAAAGATCCCTCTCGATTCATCAACGGCGTGATCATGTGAAAGAGGCATGATGGGGGCGGGGCGTAGTGGCGTCACGCAGCGAGTCGACCAATCGCGGCCTCTGTTTTGCGGCTTCTGATTCGACTGTAAATACCGACTCTGCTGTCCGTCTCCTTTCGCTCTGCGGCTGCAGCTGGAGGACACAGGAGAGGCGAGGCGTTCATATAAACCGTGCGCCGGATTTAGTTAAAATAAAACATCAAATCCAGGCTGGGAATTCAATGCGGCAACCGTCACTTTCTGTGACAGATACAAACGCTGACGTCAAAAAAACAGCACAGTAAGCAGGCCAGTCGAGTCGCACTTATCAGCCTCTCCGACCGACAAGCTTCTTTTGGCTGAAATCTCACCACAAATCGACATCGTTTGGCGGTTGAAGCAGAGGGATCTGGTGGGTTTTGGGCGGCTGGCTGCCTGCCTTTCGCCGCGCCGAGTGCCGCAGCCGCAGCCTCGTTGGCCGAATGCTAAAGGATGAGTCAGAGGGACACCCTGGTTCATCTGTTCGCTGGAGGGTGAGTAGCCCCGTAATGCTTGCATAGAGGTCTTTGCTGCACATAACGTTATCAGTCCTGTCATTCAGCCGCATATAAACAAGCCTGCCGGTGTTACACAGCAGGCTCGGCTCTTCATTCAAGACCCTGCCTTTCTCGCTCCTCACCTAACCTGGCTCACCCAGGCCTGCTAACGTTACCGCTAACACGAAGCTCAGCTTCTTGTTCCAATTTACCCGTTCCACCTTAAATAGTGCAGCAGTTACGTTCTGGTCTCAGGCGCCAGAATGGAACTGTCGCACCATTTAAGGTGGAACGGGTAAATTCGAATAGGAAGCTAACATCAGCCTCGTACCGCTAACGTTAGCTAGCTTAGCACGAAGCTAATTTGAAGCTCGCATGATTTTTTTTTCCACATTCTGGTTTACTCGTTACTGCAAACATGTAAAAATACACAGCTTAATATATATTTACAGCTGGCTGTGTGTTAGCTAGCGAGCTAGAAGCTAACTTTGTTTATATAACGAACGTCACCAATGGTAACGGTAGGTTAACTGTCAGTGTCAGGTACCGTAACACTACAACCTCCTCCTATTGTTTCGGAAGTTTCTAGAATATTGTAGCGAGGTATTTCATACATGTACGTTATTTCTGTTTATCGAAGTAAACAACGAGAAAATTATACGTTTTTAAATAAATGACCGGTTTATGTTGCGTTTATCCGAAACGTTGTTTAAGCCTATAAATCAGGCTAATTTGTGCCAGCCAGTCTGTGGCGAGATGTTTTGACAGCAACCACTCACTGACTTGTACACACTTAAAAAAGATGGTTCTTCAAGTGTTGTTTAGTAAAGACAGTGGTTCTGTTTAGAGCCACGAGACATATTTCATGTTTAAATGGTTCATTGCATGATGAAATGGTGCTTCAGATTGAGGGAGAATGAAAATGCTTCTATATAGCATTTTCTATGGTGCTATATAGAACCATTTTCCAAAAGGTTCTATGTATAACCACATGCAAAACACTCTCCATCAATCTGAAGAACCATTTCACCATGCAGAGAACCATATAAGCATGAAATACATCTATATAGGACTCTTGCTTCTAAATAGAACTATTTTGTTTACTAAAGAACCCTTGAAGAACCCTTTTTAAGTGTGTATGATTTAGTTATTTGGGTGTCCTTACTGTTTCTAGAATGACTGGAAGTTACGCTGAAGGACAAAAATAAGTCCTAATCTCTGATAAGTTGGACCCTTGGCACCAGCCTAACAGAACGTCAAACTCTGTGGGGGCGGCGGATGAACGATGGTGGTAGATCATCTTAGGTGTTTCACTTCTAGGAGAGAAACATGATTTGTGGGGCAGACAAGTATTTGGAACAAATATGAGTGAGAAGTAGAAGCAGCGGAACCGAAAGGTATTAGTAACAAGTATTTGGCGTGCTGCGCTCGTCTTTGGGAGTGCTTTGGGCTTGGCGGAATTCCCTTAAAGTGGAATTCCACAGTTTTTTTTTTTTCAAAATATCTGCATCATTAAATGCTAAGATGTAAACTCATTCAGGGGTTTGATTTGAAATGTTCCCTTTTTGAGAAACTTACCAAGTCACAGCGGTGGTGATGGTGATGGGAACCAGAGGTCTGAAGCATTTGATGCCTCTTTAAGCGACCTTATTACAAAAAATTGTTACATATATGCGTCTTGATGCCTAAGACATTGTATTACAGTCATAAGTTAGTGTAAGGCAAATTTCCCAAAGAGAACTATTTTTTTCAGAGTTACCCCTATTTTATCATTCTCATCATAGTTTAGCATAGTTTCCCAGGTCATTTTGGACAGTAAACAATATGGCTATACTTGCACTATAGACAGATCCCTAGTTTCTGTCACCATGTCTGTAAATATTATGATATATTATAATATTATGCAGAAAAAAAGTCGAAGTCCTCTTTAAGAGCTGTTTTGACCAAGAATTTGACATGGGCATGCAAAAGGCGGTGTTGGCGAGCATGCGGAAATGGGAGTTAAAGTGGTCATGGCCTCAGTGGCCGGTATCTGTCTATCAAAAGGGGAGCAAGCATGCTTTAAAAGGACCTGTCTTGGTGTCCAAATAGCATTCTCATGATCGTCAAGGTCCTAAATAGTAAGATGCAGTAGCCATGGATGCTTTCTTCTTGCATTTAAAGTTATCTTGTATTTAAAGTACACTTGGCTTTTGTACTCCTCTACTCAGTGATTTGAGGAGTCTTCCAGTGTATGGTTATGTATCAGTATGTGTCTATCAGCAAAAAAAATATCTTTTAGACCATCTCAGCACATTTTGTCAGAAAGTTATTTATGTTTTTTGGTAACTTCCTGCCTAGGGGTTCAGATCAAAGACCGCTGTGCAGGACAAATGAGCTGTTCTTTGCCTGATAACAGTTGAAGGAAAGTAGCCACCGTTGGATGTTGGCAGTGAGATTTAGTCGAAAGGCCATGGCTGAGCTTCTAAAAGCAATCCTCCATTATCTCTAATGGAAGGTCAGGTCGACCTCATAAAGGTTGCTTTTTGAGTTTTGGATTTCAGAGCGATTTTGAGCACCGGCCATCAAAGCTTAGCACACGTGGATTTTGATTAATAGCTGTAAACAAAGTAAAGATCAGCCTGCATGTCTGAATGAGAGGTAGTAGCATTATGATAACTGCAAACTGCTGCCAGCTTTGTACACTAGCATTTTTGTCAAAATTGATTTTGCCTCTTTTGCTGTTGCTGTTTAAGGTCACTGTTTAGTCCTTGACCCTTACTTTTAGTCTTGAGTGGTTTCTTTAAGCACAGCGAATGAAATTGAAATGCACAGCAATAGTCTTTTTCCAGCAATACTAATCATTAACTTGCAGGCTCGGTTTTGGGAATGATTAGTGCATGCAGGTTCTAGCTCGCTTTCATTTTGTTTTTGGAATTTTGCCCTTTTTCCTTCCCATTTTGCACTAAATATTTGCTGCACTTCCCTTTTCTAGCAAAAAACATAACTTGGCTGCCAAAAAACACACGTGGAAGTGCAGGAAGGGATCATTTTCTGCAGAAATGTAGGGGGATCCGAGCTAAAGGCAACTTTGTTTTGCTCCTGTATCTGTGTGTGTGATCATATTTCCACGCACAGCCGCCAGTGAGTGAGTGAGTGAGCGAGCGAGCGAGTGAGTAAACTCCACTAGTAACAAACAGGAGGCCCCCCGTATGTGGGCCGAAGGTCACGGTTGACGGCGGGGTAAAAATAGGCCTTCGAAGAGAGAGGCAGGACGATTCACAGTCTGCTGCTTCGATCAGGACCAGTGGCGCATTAATCAGCGCGCACTGTTTTCCACATTAGGCCAAAGATAGGACAGCATGACCTGGCACGTTACATAAAAAGGTCTCCAATTTCTGGCAAGTGTGTAGCAGTGAGATAATCAAAAATGGTGCCGTGGTAACTTTGACACCAGGTGAAGAGGGGTCAATAAAGGGAATAGTTTGGTGAAAAATGAAACCTGAGCACACTACACTTAGCTTGGTTTCAAGAGTCCATAGTTTGCTTTTGTTGTTTTTGCACTGAACCTATGAAACTAATGTAGCTACAGTATTATGCAAAAGTCTGAGGCTGTCCTTTATTTATTTAATTTCCAGTCTAAGCCATTAAGTGCACGTTATTCATTTTTCAGGAGGTATTTCTTAGATATGAGGTAGTTTCCTTGCATAAAAGAGGGAAAAGTCAAAGGAAAAAAGTGGGGACAAAACAGGAGTTTCTAAGGCCCAATTCCATTTCACTCCTTGCCCCTACCACTTAGCCCTTAGCCCTCCGTTTTGCAGTGTTATGAGAAAGAAAGAAAAAAAACGGCACAACCCACAAATGTGAGTATTTTCTCCATTAAAAAATTGCGATAACCATTGTATTATCTTAGTTTAATGTCATTTTAATGTATTATGGTCCTTTTCTTTATAACAAGCATCAAATCGCTAGTAGTGTGCTGATGTCTTGCTAGCTAGCTAGGTAAATTTCCTGTTCTACCTTAAATGGTGCAGCAGTGACATTCTGGGGCCTCAGGTGTTAGAACTGCTGCTCTAAAATTATAGCAAATTATAACAACAAGCTGGCGTGTAGCTGACTTTAGGTTCATATCACCGAAGAATTTGGAGTGGACAATAATAATTGTTGCGTCCTCCCTCTTTGAAGGCATATAATTCCCTACATTTAACTAAAGCACAGCAGTGAGGTTGCTGAACTTTACCGCTGCTCTGCTGTCACTGCGGACTGGCAGGGTCGCCTACAGAGCAGCACTAGTAGCCTGTTAAAGAAGTAATGTTCTTTTTGTTTGAGGGTCCCATAGGGAAAATTTTGACCCCTACAACTTGTAACACAGTTCCAAAGGGCAAAGGTGACACTCGAAAACAAGGGGTAGGGGTAAAAATAAGAAATGGGATTGGGCCTAACTCTGTGGGTCTGAAAAAATGTGTAGATGTCAAGAACCTTATTGAGAAAAGGAATTAGATTAAAGAGAAGAAAATCAAAGAGGCTGCTTTTGCTCCCAGAACAACAAAGAGTCCAGACCTCAGCATCATTAAATTTGATTGTGATTTCTTGGATCGTGAGCAGAAAATGCAACAAACCTCTAAGACTGAACTTTGGAGGTTTGGAAAAATATCCCTGCAGATTTCTTTGAAAACCTGAAAGCTACTAACCTGAAAAGCATATAAGATATAATGAAGGTAAAGGGTGGACACACTAAATAGTTATTCTTAGTAAGTTAAGTAGTTGAGTCATTTTCTGTTGTTTTCTGGTTTTTCCCTGATGCTAAAAAAGAATCGTGCGCTTATTGGCCGTTTTGACTGGAGATTAAATCAGTGTAGTGTGGTATCCGACTCTTGCACAGTGATGTGTAATAAGGTTAGATTAGAATCATGCAAACCGCTTGCCTCAATCCACAGTGAGTTAACTAATCTCAAACAGAAGCGGTTTCTGAAACTGTATGACATGAGCTTTGTCTGCACTTTTGTCCTATTTTAGAGATAACATTTTCTTACAGTGTCGAAACCACATAAACAAGTCTTTTTGAGATTACTTAACACAGTTTAGAGGTAAGTTTGTGATGATTTAGGCAGTTTTCACAGTGCTAATTAATGTGTAAGACCACTGCTTGTTACATTAGCCTTGTAACTCCAGTGCAAAACTAAAGAAGCAAACTTAAACCACTAATAATGTCCAGCTGATCGACAAAGGGGATGCTGTTAAATTAGATTTCTCGCTTTACTGTTAAATTGGAACGAGAATAAGGTTTAATCTGTACTTGTTTAAACAGGTGAGGTAATGCGGTTCGCTTGAAGCCGACCCTGAAGGTTGCCTGGGGGGCCTCAGCGTCCTGTACACGTGTTCACCGTAGCGCCGTCTACTGTCACCTTTGTACCCACCGCATACTCACATGGGCGCACACACGGGGGCTACACATGCTCTCAATGAACTTGACCCACATCCAACGTGTCCCTTTTACCTAATAGCATGACTCCATGACCATAGTATTTGTGTACACATGACTAGCTCTGAATTCCAAGACAAACAGAGTTGCATGTACAGCAGTACACCTCATTCTGATTAAAGGGGAATTCCACTGATATTTCAAAATTTCTGCTTAATTCAGTTGTTAAGGTGTTAAGTTATTCTGTGTGGGTTGAAGTGAAATGCTTCGTTCTAGAGAACCTTCACGAGTCAGAATTGCTCACAGTGCTGGTGATAGGAACCAGACGTCTGAAGAGTTTAATGCATTTAAAGGCTCCCTAACATTTATCAGACACTTCACCAACTCAATGTAACACTTTCAGCATTTAGTGTGTCCACACTTTGCGTTTAGTACAGCTTCTGTTCTTGTCGAGAGACTTGATTTTATTATATTTTTTTTTGTTTTGTTTTGTTTTGTTTTTTTTTCCTAAATCTGCAGGGATATTTTTCACAGCTTAAAAAAAAAGAAAGTTCAGTCTTAGAAGTTTTCTAATTTTCTGCTTCTTGCAGTGCAAGTCAGCCCAAACACATTGTGATGTCAGTCTATTGTTCTGAGATCACCAGCAGCTTCTTTGTTTGATTCGATAAGCAGATTATCTTTTTATTTTTCTCCTAAATAATAACAGCACATTTTTTTTAAGACTCAGCGTTTCAGCGTTGAGTTGTCTTCTCACAGTGGAACGATGGACAGAAACACCTGTGGATTTTAGTTAGAATGGAGTTTGATTTTCTCCTCTCTCTAAAAGCTTTAGCAATTGTTTGTCTCATGGTGACAGTTTTGGTGTCCCATTTACTCTGTTTCTGTAATCTCTTTTGATCTTCAGTTGCGGAAAGATCTGTATTGTTTTGCTTATTTTCATTTGACTTTCCCCTTCTCTGTGCAGGGGAATTATCTTATCTGTAATCACCACAGAAACATCTCCTACAATAAAGAACTTGTATTTAATGGCCGTTTTGACTGGAAATTAAATAAATGAAGGGTTTCCGCTGATTTTTGCACTTCTGTACATCACTACTTTCGGTTTTAACTTTTTTTAAAGATTAAGCTTTCAGCGTCAGAATAGTATACAGTGAAGCTTTTGTTTTCCACTCATCAGGTCTTTATTATCTTGTTAACACACTGTGAAATTCCTCTCCTAACCTCTCTTTCTCTGTTGGTCTTCCTGTGTAGCTGTGGGGGCACCGTTGGTGCTATTTTGACGTGTCCACTGGAGGTGGTGAAGACAAGGCTGCAGTCCTCCTCGGTAACGCTGTACATCTCTGAGGTGCAGTTGAGCACTGTCAATGGCGCCAGTGTGGCCCGCATGTCCCCTCCTGGACCCCTGCACTGTCTCAAGTGAGTACCTCCATTATGTCCCAGTTCACACACACTAATGTCTTGGATGGGTGTGGTGATTTCAAATATATGGATACTCCTCTGAACTCATTTTAGTGTTTGTTTACTTCATCAGATGAGGCCTGTGTAGTTTGAATCAAGGAATGAGGTGAATTTTGTATTAGCATCTTGTAAGTTTCTGGTTTAAAATCTGGAAAAAAACCTTCTGATGGTGTATTTTGAGGGTGGGAGGAACGTTTGAAGAACTACAAGCAGTTTGGGTTGAATATATGAGCGTGGGCTGTTTTAATGTTTGTTTTTTTTTCTGCTAGATGGCAAATACAGAGAACATTTCTAGGAATTGCTAGGTTAATATACTAGGAATATCACATCTGCATTTTGTTAGCCTGTACGTGAATGGCTAGACAGGATTTCTTCATCTTAATAGGGCGGGATTAACAGTGATTTTATGATCTGTTTGTGCAGTGCATGCTGGGTACTGTAGTGAAACAACACTGACACAAAAAGCATACAAAATCTTGATTTCTGTCCAACTGGTTAGATTGAGTATACAATGCTGCATTACAGCATTACTACATAACCTGACAAATAACATCAAATGCTAATTTAGGCCAGAATGCCCCGTTAAGCAAAAAGTGGCCGTGCTGCCCACACTGACCTAAAGTATCCAGGTGCCTCGTTTTTTTTTAGGATGATAAAGGTGCACTCTTTGTACGACCGCTGGAGTGCAGATAATGGTAGTTCATGTTTAAACCATCTTTTCTGGTGCTGGTTAATCTTGTAATTTTGCCTTGCTGCAGAGCTCAGCTTGTTTTGTTGGCAGGTTCCCATCCTTAATAATTGGACAGAATGTTCTCCATGCCCTTTGGCCCTGTTCCACTGCCTCTACCTGCCTGCGGTTAAATGCCAACCACAGATGTTTCATAACTGTCAATGTCAGCATGTGCCCACAGTAATGGGGTGTTATGTCGTCGGGTGCCTTAATAGTTACCGCCCCAAATTTGGACCCAGTGGTCATACTGGCATGTAGCACATATATAATGTAAATGTATGAAAAACATCTTAATAATTTTGAGATTCAGTGAGTGCATTTACATGCACTTAAGAGTTCGATGACTGCAGAAAATCAGGTTTTGTCAGTAATCCGTTCAGAGTCATGAGTCAGGCAGTAATCTGATTTCTGCTTTGCAAAAAACCAATAAACTCGTAGAAGAATATGTGACGGAAATGTAACGTAAAACTCATGTCGCCTTTTTTGTTCTTTTTGTTGTTTTAAACATTGTTTAAAGAGTGACTTTCGGGAGAATTGTAAATGCATATCATCTAGATGATGAAGAATATTTAACTCCTTCATTCCGTCATTCCGATGCTGGTTTCAGCATCGCTCTGCATGTGCTTGCTATTTCTGGGCACCGCTCTGTTTGTGCACATGCACAGACTGAGAAAAATGAAAGAAATCAGAGTAAGGGTACACATTTGCTGAAAAACCTGATTTCAGAGCTAAAATCCAGCTCTCTTAATCAGATTCATAGGAAAAAAGCGAAAAAGTTAGCTTTTTCAAGCCAGCTTATTTAATAGTCAGCTAAAATTGTGTTAAAAGATGGGCAATCCTCTTCAGCTTTCCCTCTGCTAGGGTATTTCCACATTTGGCAGAGCCATGCGCTGCTACAGGCTTTTTCTGAGTGAGTTTTCTTTTTGGTCCTCGGTGAAGTAATGTGGCAATCCAAATGCGTTGTATCGCATCTGATGAGAGGGGGGAAAAAAGGAAAACATGGAAAAGTAGGTCAGCGAAGAATTCCTTACTGAGGCAGATGAAGTAGCAGAAAGTCGGTGTTGTGCGCAGAGGGCCTGTGCTTGTGACTGGGCACATTTCGGAGGCTTTGCAGGGAAAGAGGAAAGGGAGACTGGGAGGCTTTATGTAGCTTGTGCGCTTGTGTTTTTGTGTGTCAGTCCCTCCCTCAGACCTTTTGTACAACCATATACATAATTAATGTCAATGTGCTGCCTGCAGGAAGCATGAAGCAAAAGCATGACGTTTAAGAGCTGGAGATGTGGAGACCGTCTGAAATGTCTCTGAATGCTTGTCTGTAGAAGTTTGTCCAAATGCAATACTATATGCCTCAAATTCTTTTGTAGTGGATATTTAACCACATGCGTTTTCGCTTGTGGTGTATCTGTCCACTTGGAACAGCAGTGTTAAACAGTCTTTTGCGTTTTTGAATGTAACAATACTCCTTCAGACAATTTTCCAAAGAATTCCTCTAAGGAATTTCCAAGGAATGCTTGCATGTAGGTTTAGATGCTTCAGTTGGACCATAGATACCATACTGAGGACAGTAGAGCAAATGCCTGATGCCATGGCAACAACACGTCACATCAGTGTTTCCATTATTAAGTCTTGCTGCTGGCTGGCTCGCGTCATCACGTTCAGCTGTTAATAGAACCAAGCATTCATTCCTAGACTTCAGCAGTGGGTCCTTTTTTCTCCCAGACTAGACATAGAGCTGATGATGTCTAAATGCTCTGGGATTGTGTGAACCTGATTGAAATCACCATGAATTCAATTAATAAAGGCTTGATGCACAGTACCTTTTCTTTAGCACTGGTCAGTTGGCCTAAAATTCCTCGTTGTTTAAAAAAAAATATCTAAGGAGAAATGTTTGGATCAGCAGTCCAAAGTTGCTGTAGTCGTTTGAGGACGCTTTCCACCTTGTTTAGTGTGGACCAGTCCTCCTTTTTCTTTAGGTCGATCTGTTTTGACAGTTGTTTGGTGTGAACGCTCCATCCCATACTTGGACGCCCACCAAACAACGGAAACTTTGTCCTCCAAAAATCTCAGGTCTCGGTCCATTTCTTAGAGAACTCAGGTTCAGGTCGCTGCTGGCAGGAATGCATTTTTATGATGGTTTGCACCAAAAGAGACTTTGTTTATTATAGCAGGTTTAGAATTGTTGTTTTATAGCTATACATTGGAGCAGTTTAACAGTAAAATTCCATAGTCTGTGACCAGTCATTTAATTTTGTTCTTAACAGTTCAGGAGTCTCTTTGTTGGGGTCGGAATGCAAGAATGGAAACAAAGCATTGGTTCAGCTCAGAGCTAACTAATTGATTTGTTTTTCATTTTCTGAGCCCTGCTCATTAGGCCTGTGGCCAGTCTCGGTTAACTGAGTAACCATGGTAACAGGCCCTTGGGATGTTAACAATTGAAAAGTCATTAATTTATTAATTTATTATCATTACATTGTGCAACCTATTGCAAGACACTGCTATTTCCATGCCACACATTGTGTTCATCACAGTTTAACGTAAGTTTAAACATACTGTGTTTTCTACAGCTTTAACATATTTATTGTATGGATGACGTGCTTATAGAAATGTGGCTGTAAACCAATCAGGTCTTCTACACCATTATACTTAAATGCCTGTACATATTGGCCAATACCAATGCAGAAACCTCTCTGGATTAAAAGAGAAAGCAATAAATAAAAAGATTCTGTGCTACTTCTAGGTCATTACTTTTATTTATTTATTTATTTATGTATGTATGTATGTATGTATGTGTATATATATGTATGCATGTATGCATGTATTTGTTGCTTACTTGCCAAATCTGATATCATGCATTGTATTTTCTTTTTGGAAAACAGACTGCTATGTTGTTATGGTCACTACATAATTCCTTATGTGTTATTTCACATTATATATTTTATACTGTTCACCTTTATTCTAATATGAGTAAAAATTATATAAGCAAAACCCTTCTGTGAGTCATTTTGTCTAAGCTTTTGACTGGTAATATTTGCTGTCTTTCAAAACTATAAATAAAAGCCAGCATTTTCTAAACCGCTTATCGTTCTGGGTCACGGGGTGCAATAAAACACTAAAATACAATAGTATGCATGCTCCTTTTCAGCACCCCATTCAAGCCATTTAAAATGTGCTCTAGATTTGCACCACTGATGCTAATCTATCTCTCCTCTCTGTTTTTCTTAGGTTGATATTAGAGAGAGAAGGTCCTCGTTCACTCTTTCGAGGGCTGGGACCTAACCTGGTGGGAGTTGCTCCGTCAAGGTACGTCTCCTGCGTAGATACATGCAATTCAGACACAAAACTGTGACATTACTGTCCTGAAAGAAGTGAACTTCCATGCACTGCATACTTTCCACACTGCAAAATGTATCTACCATGTTATCCAGAATTTATTTGCACATGTCCAGTTTATTCGCTGACATGGAAGTTTAACAAACCTAACAACACTACATTTAATGAAGCTAACATGTCAGCTCTGAACACAAATGAAGTGCTCATGCTCACTAGGCTAAACAGTGAAAACTCTTGTAAAGCTTGTTTTGAAGAAAGGTTTTACTGTAATGATTTGGCAACAGCAGTGATTCCATAGTGCCATAAATTCAGACTGTCGTCTGAAAGTCCACAACCTCAGAGGTGCTTTTAGCTGACGTTGCATCATACATATGTTGAGGAAACATACATTTTCATAGCAATACAAAGTACAAAGACCACCCTTTATTTATTATTTTAGATTCCAGTCAAAACGGCCACCAAGTACAAGTTATTCATTTTTCAAGAAATGTTATGGAGCAGATTAGATATAAGATAACCCACTTGCATAAGGAAGGGAACAGTCAAAGGGGAAAAAAGCAGTTTCTGACAGTGGACTTCAGAAAATGATTAAAAGACACTGAGGAAATGGGTCTCCTAACAACTGTGCAACTGAGCTGCTTTTGAAGATTCTGGTCCCTTTAGCGTTTGTGGAAAAAGTTCTAATTACTGAAACACAGCCAGTCCATCATCTTGGTTGTTGCCATGACAACACCAGAGAAGACAGGCATTGGTCAGTGACTTCATGTCACCGAGGAAAATTTGCAAAAATCGTACAGAGGGAGGATAAAATAGTGACGTGTTTTGCGTCTTGCTGTGTGCAAGATACCGTCAGTACACGTGATCAAATTAATTTATCATCTTCAGAAAATGTTGCACAAATAAATAACGCTTAGTTTGTAAAGGCCTTTAGGCTGTAGTTTAAACTTTCAAATAATTTTTTGACAACCTTTACTGAATTACTACGTTATATCTGTCTGGCGCTTATATGTTGGCAGTAGACAGAACCAGATATTCCATTGTTTTCAATTGAGCAGTAATGCCAGCAAATTCTGCTACCACCACTGGCAATGTCCCAGTGGAATGCTCCCTCACAAGTTCTCCCAAGTTTTACTGGTACCCATGGCAGTGGAACAAACCAAATGTCTCCTAACAACTGTGCTAGACCTGGTAGGCCACCAAAGTGGTCTCCATCAGAAAAACAATGCTTATAGCTTTCATCTTTGAGAAAAAAATCAAGCTCCACTCCTGCTTCAGATCTGAAAAAATCCACAGGTGCTTCTGTCCATCCTTCCACTGTGAAAAGACAGCTCAGCACCATGAGTCTGAAAAAATAGCTGTCAAGAAGATCAGTTGACCAGTAGAGAGTTGTTAAGATCCGCTCCCTCTTAAAAAGTGCCAAAAAGCAAAATTAGCAAATAGAAAAAAAATTATTGCTGAACTGGAAAAATGAGTAATAATTATATTTTAAGAATGAGAAAATATTAGTAATCATTTTCAAAAATTAAGTTAGATTTAACTCTCATTATTTGCATTTTGATACTTAATATTTTGCTTGTGACTTTGGCACAAAATAAACTCCATAAGAAGAAAAAATTAAAATGCAACCAAATTTTTAAGACCGAACTTTGTAATATCTCTGTCTCTGCAGATTTCTTTGAAAATTGAAAGAAACTCTACCTAAAAGATGAATGCAGTGGTAAAAGTAGAGTGGATAAAATCAATACTGAATAATCTGATACTATGTTTTTGTGTATTTTTTAAAACATATTTGCTGAACAATGAATGTTGTACCTAATAGCTGTTTTGACTGCAAATGAAATGAATTAAATGTGTTCTTTAACTTTTGCGCAGTACTTTATGTTAATAGAACATTGCATAATCCTAAAACATCTGTTTGAACAGTTGATATTTAATGAGAAGCTCAGTAAGCTTTGGGAGACAGTGCACCTTTTCTCAGCACCTACTTTTCTAACCCATATCAGATTGACTTTGCCGCAGACTCATGGGTTCCTTGTGTGAACTGTACTGTGATGAATAAGGCTTGTAATTCCATGTAGCATTGTGTTTTCTACTGGGATTTTCTCCATTACTGGAGCTGGAGATGAAACGTTTTCCTTTCTGAACGATTACATAACTGGTCATATCTCACTTCCTTGAAGGGGAATTCCACCAATTTTTCAAATTTTTACATAATTAAATCAGTAAGATCTAAACAAAATGCTCTGTTGAAGATTGATCAGAGTAGCATGCCATCTAATGCCTGATAGATTGCTTTATGATGGTTTGAGATAAGGTTTAAAATCATTTATGGCACAGAGGTACATACAGGACAGGATAGTGCTGAAAGAAAAGTTTTATTTTTGTTTTTTTTTGTTTTTTTTGTTTTTTTTTAATCACTTTTTTGCCATCAATACATATATAGTAAACGCATGTGGAAACAGTAAATATGATAGCTGTATTGTTGTAGACATCATGTCCCCTGGTTCATGTCACTCTCCTTGAACAAAATGAAGGAGCTGAGTGCTTATCATTAATCATTATCAAGGCACAGAGACGGTGCTCTCATAAGGTTATTAAATTGGAGTTCATGTATTGAGGTCATGTTGGGTATTTTTCAGTATTTTCCAACTTGTGTGATATGGAGCAATAATTAAGATTAGACAGCTCTGCTCTGAGAGGGTCTTCACAGGTCCAGAAATCTAGGCCTGTAATTTCCGTAGGTGAACCTGATATGTATATAACTAACGAAAAGAAGAAGCAGCCATAACCGCAGACAATTAAGACTTGATTTGAACCGAACATAAAATGAAGCCGGGATGGTCTGGGTCTGGGTCTGGGTCTGGGTTCGATCCCCCGGCCAGGCGACCAGGGTCCTTTCTGTGTGGAGTTTGCATGTTCTCCCAGTGTTTGCGTGGGTTTCCTCTGGGTGCACCGGTTTCCTCTCACAGTCCGAAGACATGCAGTCATGCTCATATGGCAAGTATGTAATATTGTGATACTTCAAGAAATTTTCATTATGCACAGTCTGAATGTTCAATATGAACAGTTTATGAATGATTACAGCCTAATAAATTACACAAGTACTTTACGTACCTTTGTCTTCATAACTCCCTTTGCATGGGCTATGAAAATCACATCAGACTCCTAGAACTAGGTGAGTTCATGGAGTTGACAAAGGATCTGCTACCAGTTAGGCTGTAGTTTAAACTGCTAAATTCGTTCAATCAATCAATTTTTGACAACTTTTACATTATTATGTCTGTCTGTACTTATGGAACATGCACAGCAATACTGTGTTTACATGTTGGTGGTAGACAGACAACAGCAAACCAGATATTCCAGTGTTTGCAGTGGAGAGGTAATGCCACCAAATTCTGCCACCGCCCGTGGCAATGTTCCATTGACCTCAGTAAGTGGAATGTTCCCTCATGAGTTTACCAAAGTTTTGCTGGAGACCACAGCGGTGGAACAAACCGGGTGTTTGTTTTGGAAGCAGAGGTGTTGAATGCACTTAGTTGGAAGTCCGGACGCACTTGTTCATTTACATCAGCTGCTGAACTTAAAACACTGGCTAACACCATCACCCCACGCATGGGCAGAAACGCCAGCAGTGCTATCACCATGGCAGTTTTTACATGATTTCATGCCACCGTGGGGTGTGTATTGTTGCCAGTTCAGCTCAGTCTCATCCTTTTTAAATCATTTCTTGATGATGTCTTTAGGCTGTAATCTATTCATTTGATCTGACATTTGTAGTGGTCCGGTGTGAGTAGAGCAATGTGCCAGGCATTTTTTAGACATAATCGTAAAACAGCATTTTTACGAGCCTACATTATTAATATTAGCACATGGTACCATCGCCTGTTAGTAAAGTCTGAAACAACTAATTAGGCTAGCCTGTTTCTAAATCTAAAGCCCCAGCCTCCAGGCACTCAAGGACACCACACTTAAAGTCAGTGTAAAGGAAATCCAGACATTTGTTTCTTAACACTTAATACATGTTAGATAATATTTGCTGAAAACATGTGAGAAGACTGTGAACTATGTTATACTGAATTGTGGAGATTGACTGTTAAATTATCATTTTTGTGTTCAGGATTTTTTGTGCGGGCTTGAAATCATGGCTTGAAGGTGCACTGGAGCCACACTTAGCTTGATGCTGCCCCTAACACTATAATGTTATAAAAACTAGAGTGCATTAGCATCAGTGGGTTTCCTGCTCAATTGCAAAATATGTTGTTGTGTTTTTTTTTGTTTTGTTTTGTTTTTTTTGTTTTTTTTAAATGTGAATTGTTGATGGCCTAACTTTATTCGGCTAGGTTATGCCAGTCAGTAATACGTATTGCTAACTTGCATAAATGTGTGAAATAAAAAATACTATTTTGTTGCAGTCTGAGAGGAATGAGGTTGATTCTTGGGTAGGTCAGTGACCTCTGGCTCTGAATTGATTATTCTGGCTTGTATTGGACATGATAGGTGTGCCATAGAAAGCCAAATAAAATTTTGGCTTCCATGATTTGGTTTTTAAATTTTAAAATTTGAGTTTTTAAATAGTCATGAAAGTCTGAAAAAAACTGGTTGGAAATTTGAATTTTTCATACACAAATTGTTATACATTTTCATGTACCAGAGGGCAGCGTAGAGTACTCATATAGTTTTAATGGAATAAAACATCCCGTGTCATTCAGTGAATTTATTCTGTTTGGAATCAGCTGAATAACTTCTCACAAACTCACTGTTTTCCAGCTAAATGGTGTGAAGTTGAAATAAGCCAAAAACATATTCAAATTGGAATATCAGATTTAACTGAAATGCACACCCCTAATCTACATTGACGTAAAGCATCTGTGTGTCCTTTAAATGATGTGTGACCGTATATATCAACATTTTTGTCCATCACTGTCCTTAATTCTCTTGGGCTTCACAGCAGGAGCGGCTGCCTCATGACCAGCGCACCGTTATGTAAAGGCCTCTCTCAGATCTGTTGGAGGGCAACCAAAACTGGCGTACATGCACTGGTTCACATGCTGTGCTGTCTGCACTCCCGCTGACTTACATGACAGTGTTCCTCGACACTGTGAATGAGCCTGACTGCACATTCATTCTAATTCATTCTTAATCTGAGCTACCGCAGTGCTCTGAATTCCTCTGACTTCATCTTTTTTTCTTTGTCAAGTTGCTTAAAATAAACCCCCGACTGGAATCTGGGATGGCTTCCTCACGTCGGATTGGTGGGAATGCGACAGATGTGGAAGCTGGCATGGGATTGGCCAGACGTATGATTGGCACGGATTGGCCGCGCACGGGGAAAAGGAGGTGGCTTAGCTTGTGGAAATGTACTGGCTCCCTCAGCTGTGGAATTAAGCATCTCTGCCGTAGTCTAATGGCTGTTCAGGCAGTCGGCGCTTCATCTGGCGCACGTTCAGGATGGCAGAAGTAAAAATCCGCCTGTGTGTCTTACGTAAGCTACGAGGTTACGCACGCGGCACAGGGGCTTAAAGCTGGAGCGGAAATTTTGATTTGGAGCAATCTTGTTTTGTGAGTGGGTGGCTCTAGGCTAAATTGCCTAGTACAGAGAAAAAAACCCAGTGCTAATACTTAGCATGTGATCCAGTGGAGGCGAGGAGAGGCTTACCCTTACTTACACTGTCTTCTAAAAATGGAACTTTCCTGCATCAGCTCACAATTGGTATCACTATATTGACAAGACAGTTTGGTGCATATCACAGCATGGACATGGCAACAGAAGGTCCATCAGGCCACTGTTTGTGGTTGTATTATTGGAGGGTCTCTGAGATAACTGAGCATTTCCACTTGATGATAGGAGGGGAGGTGAGACATGCTATTACTGGTTAATATGATTTGTCTTGTAATGTAATCAAGACACCTTAAAGGCATTAACCTAAAAAAGTCTCTTAAATGATAAGATATGATGAATCGTGCTTAAAATGACTTGCAACATGTTTTCTATGATTAGTTCTTCAGTTCGTTATGACTCCGCTTAATCAGCTAATTGGGAAAAAGCAAAAGTGCAGTTTGTAGTCAAAGTAAAGGACTTTTAAGAGAAGTATAGCAACAGATCTTCTGCACTGCCCTCAAAAATGCTTTTTTTTTAGTGTGGAAGATGTGCTACTCATGAACAAAACATGGCAGGTTCTAAGTAATATTATGGAGGTAGTTTAATTCTACAAAAACACTGCATTGCTATTTAAATGACTTCTCCTCTGATGATAAAGCAAAGATAAATGAATGAGTTTGTGTAGTCGGTAACGTCAAACCTGATATTACATTACAGAAAAAGCCATGTTGGATATCACCACATCAGCACACGTTTAACAGCAGTGAACATTGGGCTTTTAAATGAAGGTCAAGTGAAGTGAAGTGTTCCCATATTTTTTGACATAGTCCTGTACTGTTAACTCTGCTGATGTATGATTTTAATATTGACATTATTGTTTACTGGAGGCAACAAGGAGAAATCTGGAACCAAACTGTGTTCTTTACATAAGTTTACAAGATGTCAACTTTTTTCAAAATAAACTCTTGTTACTTTTTTAATCTATTTATGTCTATTTCTTTATTCTAATGATATTTGGTGTTTTTACTGGCAAAAACACGGGATATATTAATTTGTCTTGGTTTTATTGATTTGATTGTTTTTATTTTTTTAGCATTTTATTTAGCATGTCCACATTCTCATTATTTTGATCGTTTCTAGAGATCTTGTTCCTGGCAGTAAAAACCATTCCATTCATTCATACACTAACTAAACTTGCTGGAAGAGCCCTGCTGTGGCTTTTGGGAACAGTCTGGCCTTTGGGATCACTCGAGGATGTTTTGTTATGAGTAATTCTCAGTATTTTACATCCCCCTTTCCTGGTTTATTGTGATTTGTCCTGTGTTGATTTAAAATGTTGCTTTCTCAGGCCCTGTGTTGTGGTCATTTCTTGCAGAGATTGTCAGATCGCGGGCACTTTCATCTAGCTGTTTGCTCAAGAGTATGCCAAAGAGGCATGGTTATATACTTGACTTTTAAACAGACATGATCACACAGTTCAGTAGCATTTTTGCGGTTAGACCTACAAGCAAATCACTTGTAATAGTAGAGTGGGTGAGGTGTGATTTTTCATTGCTGTGATGAAAGATGTAGTGGGAATCTTTTCATCACGCACTACAGTCACTGCAGTTTTAAGAGGCTTTAGCAACTTAATATCTTTGGCATCTGGAAGGTCCATGAATTCCACCATGTCGATCTGCTGTTCCACCTTGTTTGAACATCTGGCACACGCTTGTGTTGAGACAAAGGAAGCAGAATTTGCATGACAAAACAGAAGCAGTAGAGCTACAATGAAACAACGGGATCATTCTCCATTTTTTTTCCCGAAATATTACATTTTTCTGATTCAGTTGTCACGATGAGTGGTTTGATGTGAAATTATTCATTGTAGAGAAACTTAGCAAATCAACTTTCTTTACACCCAAAGATTTATATCAGAATATAATAGATTTTTTTTTTTACTTTTGCAGTATTTATCACTGTGTGTGTGTGTTTGTTTGTTTGTTTGTTTGTTTGTTTGTTCTAATAAAACCATGTTAGATGCTTAAGTAAAACCCATTAAACACATTGTCATAGGTAACATTTTGTTCTGGGATGTCCCTTTTTTTTAAGAACAGTTTTTAACAAAGTTTTTTTTTTTCCTTTTCATGTGCAAAATCGTACAAACCAAACAATATATACATAAACCTATGTTAAGATTGCTTTCTAACCCCGGCAAAAATGGTGCTAAATGTTGTCTTAATTTCTACAAGACGCATCTTATTCTGCTGCTTTTTGTTCAAATTTCCCATTCCGCCTTAAATGTTACACTTTGGCAGCTGCACAGGTACCTGAATGTAACTGATTTGACCCTGACATGACGCTATTTAAGGTGGAATGGGAAGTTTGGAAAAAAATAAAAAATAAATAAATAAAATAATTTGTCATTATGCGCGTCCCATACACTCAGCCTCCAACCGTCAGATGCTGTTAGAATTTGGAAATTATTACAGTTATTCACGCTTCAGTACCAGTTGGTCCGTGTCTTCTTGGGAGGTTGGGAGACCACAATGCCATCTGATGCAGCTGACCACTCCTCAGCCACACTTCATCGCTCTGGTGTCCATATTAGGCTAAGGCTAACTCCAAAAGACCAGCCATTCCTTTATGTCTGCTGCCTTGAAAGTAAAGTGGACTATGTCAGATGAAACGGACTAGCCAGTGGGAGGTGATGGAGGGTCTGCTGCCTTTTCATTTTCATTTGAAACTTGACTGAAACATTCCTGACTCAGTCATTCAGTTAAAGTGACTTACTTTAACTTTATACCAGTAGTAAGCACTTATTATTGGTATAAAGATGATTACAAACCTCATACTTGAGGAGGAAAATACCAGTATACTGAATACCAACCAGTATATTGCCCACTACTAATAGGAACCAAAATAGTGGAAAATCTGAAAAAATATGTTTTCTTTGGGTACTGCTTTGCCTTGCATGTGCAACTCCACCATGCATGCGTTTTGAAGAAAACGTGTTTTAGCCCAAAACTTTATATCAAATCTGTGGTAACACAATTATAAAATAATGTCTTAGACTTCAGGCAGTTTAGTTGTAACCATTTCTTATTATATTTTTCTGTGAAGGAGGTTTTAGTGTCATTAAACTCTTTGTATTACCACCACTGTGAACAATTCTGATGCGTGTTTCACATCAAACCACGCTAAATGACTTTGTTTAAAGAGTAAGAAATTTATTATGCAGAAATGCTTTATAAAATCGATGGAATTCCTCTTTGAAGGCGCTGCAATGAATTGTTGGTCTGTATATTTTTCACTGACTAAGTAATGCAGTGTAAGGAATACACAAATAGTGATTTCAGTACAGAAAGCATGGGTGCTGTTTGAAATAAGCCTGGATTTATTGGTTGTCTTGATCTTTGTCCACAGAGCGATCTACTTTGCGGCCTACTCCACAGCCAAAGAGAAGCTAAATGCCGTGCTCGAGCCTGACTCCACGCAGGTCCACATGGTGTCTGCCGGCCTTGCAGGTAAGGGTCCCAGCCATGACACTCTCATTTTTTTAATGGTTTTTAGAAGCATTTTGATTTTAGATACTAAACGTTTGCATTGGTTTCTTTGGTTTGTGTGTCACCCTTTGAACTAAAATGGTACTCACCTCTTAGTAGTCACAGTACTAAATTTGTATCTTGGGAGATGTTTTATAACCAGTGTTTGAAAATGGTTCTTGTTGTTAAGCACAGTAAAGTAGCATAGTGTAGATAACTCCAGTGTAGATAACTCCGGTCTAGAGATCAGCTAGTTGTTTTTTGTCTTTTTTTGTTTTTAAATTTGGTGTGTCATTGAACATCATCTTGTACAAATGGAGAATGGTTAGCCTAAGGCATATGGCACGTGTTTTGGACGTTTTGTTAGCATCTAGTCCGAAAGCACAATTGAAGACTTTCAGGATCAAAATGTCTTAACTGCTGGACCCATTAAAAAATGCACAGCTTGTGAAGCCAAATATTCAGCAGTTTTAGCCTCATTATAAACGTTGAGTTAACACAATTGAATCAGAAGTAATGATTGATCAGTGCCCACCTGCCCAGAGACAGGTTTGGGGTAAAGGATTACTTAGTCTGATTCACAGAAGTGAAGATTTTTCATGAATGATGATGATGGAGAAGGCAGAAATTAAGCTTAATGGCCCTTATTCATCAAATTCACTTAAAATCTGGTCAAATCTGACCGTACAATGAGCGCACGCCAGTTTTTTTGTTTGTCGGTTTCGTCCTTGGTGTATTTGTATGATCAAACTCACGTCTTGTAGTAGTTTTGTGTAAAATTGAGTGTAATGTTTTATCAGCCTAAAGGATACTATTTATACTAATACTTATGCACACAAAGTGAATAAACTTATTTTTTACCTGCTTAATGATAGAAACAAATGCTCCATCTCTTAATGTTCCATTTAAGTACATATAGCACAGTTCTTTTGCTTTCAATTACTGATACGGATAATAACTACTGCTCAACAAAAAAAACTAAACATAGATAGCAGTATGTTTTGCAATAAAAGAACAAGCAGCTAGTATTTTAGTATAATGATCACATCATATGTTTCATGTAACTGTGTTATCAGATTAAATAGAACACTGTTGGCTCCCTGTGAGTGAGATGTTGAGACTATGTTGAGCTGCTAGCAAGCAATGAGGGATGGGGGGTGAAAACCCCTGCTGTGAAAAGAATTCACGTCTTTCCACAAGACTGCCATGCTTAGAGTAGACAGCTCAACTACAGATTTCTTCAACTGCCACAGTACAAATAGCATCTAAATACAATGAAAATACCTTAATAAATGGTGACTTGCTTGCTTACCTGCAAAGTTCGCTTCCAGTTTTGTAAGTCATATGAAGTAAACAAATATTACGTAGTTTAACTGAAGGACCTTCAGAAGAGGAGGACATTGCATTTTATGGCTACTGTGAAAAAAGTTTAAGCTCTAGCCAGTAGGGGCAGCAGTAGGGCACACCCTGCTCCCCAAACTCCACCTAACAGGGCAACAGTTGGCTCATTGGTCTCCTGAATTCTTTCCTTTTATTGGCTCACTATCAAAACATCTGCATGAATTAGGGCTAAATTACATGTACAGTAAAAAAAAAAAAAACATTTTCAGCCAAAACAGCTGTTAAGCACAAGTTCTTCATTTTTAGGAGATGTTTTTGTGTAGAAAGTCCAAGGAAAAAGAATAAAAAACAAGAGTTTCCAAAACAAGAGTTCCTGAAATTATTTAAATACCTGGTAGACCACCAAAACTGTCACTGTCAGAAAACAATATTAAAAGCTTTCGTCTTTGAGAGAAAGAAAGCAGAAAGTCAAGCTCTGAAGAAAACTGGCATAAAAGAAGAACATTTGCAAATTAAAGATGCTGCGTGTGTTCTGAGAACAATGGACTGACCTCAACATGACTAACATCAGCATCACTGAATGTGATTATTGGATCATAAGACGCAGAAAATACAACCAACATCTAAGACTGAACTTTGAAGGTGTGGAAAAATCTCCCTGCAGATGTCCTTGAAAAACTGAAAGCAAGTCTCCCGAAAAGAATGACGCTGTAATGAAGACTGCATTAAATACTGTAAATTTTGACATTATATTAGCTTGTTTCGAGGCTGTACGACAGTTTCGTGAATCAATCACAGAGTAGTTCTTACGTTATTCAGATCTGCGCTCATTTTCATGCAACTTTGATGAATAAGGGCCAGTGCATTTTATTTATATGTAAATAAGACAGGCTGTATTTATTAGGCTGTTTATATGCAGTCTACTGCTACGAGCAAACAGAGCATATGGAATAATCGGTAATAATGAAGCAATGCAGCCACAAATAGAAAAAAATAGCAAAGAGATGCAAATGAGGAGGTCCTCAAAGTTTGGGTTGTGCTTTCCTTTCCCACTTTTTTTTTCCTTTTTGTTTTCTTCTTCTACCTTTTGAGGGCTGGAGGACATAAATCATTACATACCAGTGTGCTACTAAACAGTCTGGCTTCACACGCTGTCTGTGCTGTGTGTAGTAGCGGCCGCTAGCAGGGCGCTACGCTAACATATAGGGCGCCATGCGCGGTGGGCAGCGGTCCTCGCGAGTGACACGGGCGGAATCGGGACGCCTCAGGTAGTCACATCTCATCTCACTGGTATGATTACGATTCTCCTAATGATAAATGATGATAATGGTTATAATATTGATGTAGCTACTCTAGCTAGCTTGCAGCTTTTTTTTTTCCCTTTTAACCTCCTTGTACTTGCACAGTCTTGAGACTTGGCCTCTAACCAGCCTGTAACCCATGGGAAGGTAACTAGAAAAAGCTCATGCACCTTTTTTTGTATGTAGTCAGCCACTGCAAATGCTAACCTTGTCATTATACTACAGTATATGCTGTGAATTTTTGCAAGTACCATTGTCAGTAGGTAGTCACAAGTCAAACAATCTGGACTGAAGTGTTTTAGATGATGAACTGCACAACAGATTTTATCTGTAACATGTAGTTCTTACATAACCATCTGTACTATATACACTGTATGGCCAAAAGTATGTTCCTAATTGTTTATTGAGATTGTATGGCCATGTGCTTGATTTTGTACACCTGTTAGCAATGGGTGTGGCTGAAACACCTGAACTCAATAAACACTGGCAATGGAATGGGTCATATTGAGGAGCTCAGTGACTTTAAATGTGACACTGTCACAGGATGGCGCTTCCCACAAGTCATTTTGTGAAATTTCTTCCCTGCTAGATCTGCCCCTGACAACTGTAAGTGCTATTGTGAAAAGGAAGCATTAACAACTCAATCAAAACTGTACTGGAAGCAACATTAGCATGAGAACTGTGCATCAGGAGCTTCATGAGATGTGTTTCCATAGCTGGGCAGAATGCTACCTACTGGAATGCATAGTGCCAACAGTAAAATTTGGTGGAGGAGGGATAATGGTCTTGGGCTGTTTTCCAGGGTTTGGGTTAGACCCCTTAGTTCCAATGAAGGGAAATGTTAATACTACAGCATGCAAACATTTCCATATTAATGCTCGTGGTTTTGGTATTGGATGTACCACAAGCTCATAAGGGTGTGATGGTCAGGTGTCCACATACTTTTGACCATATAGTGTACATACGCTGAAAAATGATTCTATAGACTCACTCTATATTCTCTTTCACGCTTTCCTAGATTTCCTTGGCTTCACCTTTTTAAACTTGTCCTCGCTCATAAACGTGTAAAGTTGCGATACGATCACAGGCCACAGACACTGTGTGTAAATCTAAACTGTGCTTCCTGAGGAAATGTAGGTCGCTCTCTCTCTCACAGGACCATGGAGCATGTTACATTGGCCTACTTTCCAAAGCAGGCAGTATTGTGGCACCAGTTAAGAACAATGCAGGGATTGCCCTTAATCGTATAATTAGGCCAGTCATGAAATTTCAGCTGACAATTAATTGCCACATAAATAATAGTGTCTTTTTTGTTTACTATGTGGAAAAATTAAAGAAATCTAAAGCGTCTAAATTGGCCGATTAGCCATCTTAGTTTCTACCCATCTGATCTCAGGAGATCCTAATTACTGACACACAGCTCGAACTCAAACAAACATTACTCATCAATGGCCTCTAGACTGCCCAGTGCACTATATTGTGAGAACATTTGTCATTTGTCAATATTTGCAAAAGTTTCCTGAAAAAGGGAACAGCTAGTTCCACAGAAAGAGCCTAAAGTTGTACGCAAGACACAAAAAACATTTATGTAGAATAATAAATTGTTAAAGGTCTTTATGTATCAGGTTTGTTAAAGAAACTACTACAAATGCCATAGGAGCATCCTTAAACCCCAAATCTATGAATATCTATTAATATGCATGCTTATGCCCATTGCAAACACCCCCGCCACCATGTTTCTAAACCCCACACCTTCCCCTGCCTCTGTTTTATGAGACGACATAGAGCAGAAACGAAGCTCCTGCCGTAACTTTGATAATGTGCAAGATCCGATCTTTCTGTTGAACCGGCAGGTTTACACACTCAGACTTTTATTTTCTAAACTGCCTCAGTGGGGCTTCAGTGAGCTGGCTGTATATAAAGCTTAGGCCTTATTGCTAAGCTAGCACTAGCCTCCTGTGCAGTAAGGATATGAATTAAACATAGCTTAAGCTAACAGCTCCACAAACAAAAACATAAGTTTAGTCAGATTTGAGACTTTGTTCTCTAAACTTGCATAAATAGGGCTTCACTAAGCTGGAATTGAACATGTGTGGTTGTGTATAAAGCTTAGCCCTTCTTGCTAAACTAGCACTAGTCTCTTGTGCTACAAGGATATTAATCGAAACATAGCTTAAGCTAACGGCTCCACACACAAATACTACTTTACCTTCTAAGATTTAAGATCTAAACTTGCATGCTTTAGTGAGCTGTAATGAACTTGTGCTGTGGTGAAGCCGTAGCACGCTAAGCTACTACAGTAGAATGCTACCTGCTGCTAGAACAGCTCTACACACCACACTTGACAGTTTATTAGGTATAAATATAATATAAAATTAAATATTAAATATATATAAATAATAAAATAAATGACTCATCATTTTAAATACCATTATCATGTATTTACTTCGGCTAACAGCTTTCCAAATATTGTAAACGAGGATGCTACGTTAGCGCAGGCGTGTTCTGTAGCTGCAAGCAAGTTTCCTATCCTATTCCATGTTGTAATCCTCTCATTAGCACGTCTTAGTATATTGGTTCATAATAGATCCAAGCTTGTTCATGACATCTGCGTAGCCCCCCACAAATCTTTTCTTTTCTAATGTACAGAGAAATTGTGTGATTTCAATGGAAAAATGTGAACTCTGCGCTATCGTAGTGTTTGATATAAATATCAGTCTAATCTAATCATATTAAGCTCTCCGTAAGTAGTTAATCATTTAGGAGCCACATGTTAGAGTACAACACTTGCATGCCTTCACACAGTGGCTGGGCTCCAGCATACAGATCCAGTGTCCTGCCTTGACCAATATAACAAAGTACTTCTGGATTCTCTTGGAATGTTTTCATGCTAAACAACGTGTTCACAGTACACTCTGTTATCTAGTGAATTTTTGACAGGGTTGACAAGGTTAGCATTTGTATCCTCTTACTTGCACTGCTTGACCTTCTTTTACTGTTGTTTATGTAGACTTTGTCCCCAGTTTAATTTTGATGACTCCCTTTATCACTGACGTTATGGTTAACCCATTATGATAATAACGATGGGGCTAATGGTTTTGCTGCTCTGTAAGAACCAGCAAGACTATTGTGTACCCATCTGACCTCTTGTATTCCAGACATAATAAAAAGCACTGGTTTAATGATGTCCTTTGAAACTCAAGAGACAAAACATCTGCCTTTCTCTCTCTCTCTCTCTCTCTCTCTCTCTCTCTCTCTCTCTCTCTCTCTCTCTCTCTCTCTCTACTCCTCCTTCTCTTTAAGATTCTCCTTACTCTCCTGCTCTCTCTCTCAGCCCCCTCCAGTCTCTCTCTATCTCTCTCTTGTCTTATAAAATGGAAAGGAAAAAGAAATGAAAAGCACAAGTTTGTATGCTTGTAGGGTGGGGAAAATTGGGTAGAGGGTTACGGTATGTGAGGGTGGGACTTGGGGTAGGGGATATGGGGCGGGGTTTGTTGAAGTGCTCCACCCCCTCATGTGCCTGCCATGGCACAGAGGTGTGCGTGGACTGCTGCTGCTGCTGCTTGTGATTGTGGTACAGAAAAGCCTGTGTCTATTTTAGGCCTGTACTGTAGCTTTGCACCCTGCGAGAGGGTCTGTGAGCCAGCCTGCTCCGCCCCCCCATATCTGCAGGCTTCGTCCTGCAGCTGTGAGGAGGAGCTTTGCCCCTCCCCTGTGAGTACTCGCCAAGAGACACACTCTCTATCTCTCTCTCTCTTTCTTTCTCTCTCTCTCTCTCTCTGTCGTTCTTCCTCTCGTACCGATCTATCATCCTCCTTCACCCAGTTGCCCTAGGCTTCTTACCCTGTCTAGAGCCCCCCACCCCCCACTCTAGGTCAGTAGACCTCCTTTTTTGGTTTGCTAGATCTAAGAATGTTTTTCATTTAGTATATAGTGCACTAGATTCTACAGCAGTTGTGTATCACACTGTACGTCAATATGAGTATCCAACATTCATCTGTAACAGTGTTTCATTTGCTTAAATGGGGGGATTTCTAGCAGCTTCCAGAAAAACAAAAAATCACATTATGGTTTATGGCACCATCTTCTAGAATATTTAGCACATGGAGCTGAACCTGTTGCCCTTAGCACATACATTACGCATGAACGATGCTACATAAACTACAGAACTTTTTTAACTTGCATGTATGTAGTCATACTCTGAGTTGCCAGCTTATAAGGTACACCTGACTACTCACATACCTATTTTGGCCTTCAGCACAGTACGAACTTTCTTGAGCATGGATTCTACAGGATGCAACAACATCGCACGGGCTTACTATGAACAGCCCTTTCCATCATCCTAAAGATGTTCCATAAAGATCCAGGTTTAGCATTTGCCACTGAAGCAATGACAACTTGTCTTGTTCCTGGAGCTGTTCAATGATAATACATGCCACGTTATAATGACACGTTGTAATACTGGAATTGTCCATCCAAATATATACAAGCTGCAGCCGTGAAGAGATGAACTTTATGAGCAACGAATTCTAGATGAGATGTGCCCTTCACATGATCTTTCAGTGGTTATTGGGGCCCTAATGTGTCCCAGAAAAAAGCATTCCCTGCACCATTAGCTTGTACATACCATACACATACCATGACTCCATGATCTTTTTTCCCCCCACAGTCCAGTTTTGGTGTTCCTGTGACCTCTTGTTCTTGTTGTTCACTGAAGACATCAAGAAGTGACATGGTCTTTGGCTGTAGCCCATTCAAGAGAGTCCAGAAAAAAATCACTATTAGCCTATACTGTTGTACTTTTGATACCAGACAGTATGACCCTAAGATGTTGCTTTAAATTCTGATTTTCCCATCAGCATGATGGGGGAAAAAACCCAGATTCAGCCAGCCTCTTTTTTTTTCCCCATCAGTCCAGTTTTGGTGTTCCCGTGACCTCTTGTTCTTGTTCTTCACTGAAGACATCAGCAAGCAATGTGGTCTTTGGCTGTAGCCCATTCAACACAGTCCAGTGATGCATTTTCAAATGACGTTCTGCAGTGTTTAATTCAGATGCTATTTGCCTGGTCATGTCAAGACTCGCGATTTTGCTTGCACAAGTCTATCCATTCTCTTTTGACACTTCTGATCCAGGCGCTTTCATCCACTGCACTACTGAACTCTGGTTGTTTTTTGCTTTCAGCACCACTGCTGGTAAACCCTTGAAACAACTGATGCAAAAACTCCAGCATATCTACCGTTTGGGAGATGCTAGAAACGGTGTGACCAACATTAGGTCACTCTTTCCGTCAATTCCAACACTCATTTGAACACTACTGATTGCTGAAGATGCTGGTCTGCCTGATTTATACACCAAACCACATTTGCATGAAACTTAGGGGTGTACTAAATAAACTGACAACTCAGCGTATGGTCTAAAGCCATGTAGGCCCACCTTGCAGACTTTGCAGGGCCAGTATTTGTTACTAATATCACACACCTTGCTTCATTTAAGTCACATGGCATGATTTTTGGGAATGCCACTTTGTGGAAAAACAGAAGTCACTAATATGTAATTACACATTGCACCATGACATAACTGTAGATTAAAATTCAAATAAATGTAGTTAAAACCTTGAGTGCGCTCTTGAGTTCAGCTCAGTTCTATCATACTGTTACATCACACTTTTGAAACCATTTGAAGGGAGTGTTTATGTAATGAAAGGGCAATAAAGGAACAAACAGCATAGTTTAGCTGGAATTGGTCACACTTTTATTGCTTTAGTTAAAAGGCCTTATTCGCTTTTGTGGCCAACTACTCTAAGATGTGTTTGTGGCGTTGAATAGAGATGTTTTCCTGTGGGGGAAAAATGTCTCATATTAAGAATAAACCGTTTTATCTAGCCTATATTAAAGGAAAGTTCACCGTGACATGCTGTTAATGATCCTCCTGTTTTCCACTTGGCCGCATCAAATAAATACTCACTGATACGGGTGCGCAATGGCCCGATTTCAGATATGTCAGATAAGGATTTATCTGGCTCAAAAACAAAAACAAACAGGCCATAAACACATCTTACAGAAGTCCACAGTGCTTCTCTGGAGTGTGAATGACTGTAGGCGAGTTTGTCTATGTTTTTAATTTCATTTTATTTATTTTATTTTATTTTTTTTTTGGAAATGTAGAAGTTTGCTTATATCCTTACCTATGTGGCTTGACCGTGTCACTTTCTTGTCTGACCCTGCCATTGCTTTTTCTCAGGGTTCACTGCTATCACGGCGACCAATCCTATCTGGCTCATAAAGACCCGACTGCAGCTGGATGCCAGGTAAGCAATGCTGATAGTGTTGCTGTATTTATAGGGGTATTGCTTAATTTTGTTCCACTAATGTTTGGTGAGTAGGCAGCATTGGTTCACCTCTTACCCAGAGAGAATCATTTTGCAGCACTAAAACCACGTACTACATCTTGGAAACGGGACGTCAGCTGTTCGATAGAGTTGTTTATGACGTTCTCAGTTGGCCAGTTTTAGGGTTAACAAGTTTGTGTGAACTCGAACTGCAGGTCATAAGTTTAGAAGCAGCGCAACTTCCTAGAAATAAATATGAAAAATTGATTTATTTCGAGCGATATCAAACACTAATATCTCTATCATAGAAAACATTTTCCATGTTTTCATTAGGAAGTGTTCTCTCACTACAATACCCAGCATGCATTATACAAGTGCGTCATACAGTCATTGGGAATCCCAGTAGTGTCATCCTGTCCTGACTGCTAGCCTAGCCATTGAATTCAGCTAATAAATACAACCAAGCTAGCATTAGCTAGCACTCTTGCATCAGTCATCTAATAAAATCTTACAATGATTACATCTTTCTTCTGCACAAAATCAGTGTTGGCGGCAAGTTTTTTTTTTACCCTTTCAACCAGAAAAAAGGAGACAAACTAAGTTAAGGTGTCTACATTGCAATGTAGCTACCTTGCTGACTTTAGGGTTAGCTTGTTGTTCTCATCTAACAAGTCATTTCTCTCATTTGAGTAAAACATTCTGTCCACTGTAATGATTTGAAGACAGTTGCTACAGTTATACAGCTGCTAAAAGATATTTGGCTTCCTAGCAGTAACCTTGACTATCTACATTCACCAGCTAACAAGAAAAAACAAAAGAAAATTCAAGTTCCACCCCAAAGCACTTGTAGTTTTTCAAAAGTTCCTCCCACCTTCAAGCTACATCATCACTTTCTAGTCTTTAACTGGGTAAATCTCACTCGAGGGACTACTGCCGTGTCTCTGTAGGATGCGAGCAATTTCTCATTTCTCATTTTGCTCAGAGTGTCTCTTTAACTTGTGTTACTACACAAAATTGTTAGGATACGTTGTCCAATGCCAGAGTCATTATTTAGCGATAGTTTTGATATAAAATTGTCTACATAATTAAAATTGTTTACATAAATTTCAGTATGTCCCTCTTTTGTTTAATGACTGCGTGCACTTGAGCAGGTGTGGACTCCACAAGTTCTGACCAGCCTCTAACCAGTAGATCAAATTCACCTAAAGTTCTTCTGAACATAAGCTTCAATGGAAGGATTAGACAAAACATGACTAAACTACAAAGGCCTCAACATGGTCAATTTTATCATTTTTTTACCATCATCAGCATTACATATAAAAACATTACATATACAAAAACTTGCTCATCATTTTGGATAGTACATAAAATTGCCATATTTGTGTTGTACCCCTCCTTCCTGTCACTGCCAAGTTTCCCTACAGTTTACCATTTCAATCAAACCACTTTGAACAACTTTGTTTACATTTAAATGATTGAATTACCCAGAAACTTGGTGTAAATCCTCTCTGTGTAATTCTCCTTTAAATTAGAAGTTTGTAGAATTAAAAACTATTTAATGTGAATGGCTTTGTTTTAATCTGTATTTCGATGTTCTTCAAAAATACATTTTAAAGACAAAGACTTTAAAAACAAAGAACTTTATCTGAACTATTTTTCTCCTATTGTCCCCTAGAAACCGTGGTGAGAGGCGTATGAGTGCGTTTGAGTGCGTACGGCGGGTCTATCAGGCAGACGGACTGCGGGGCTTTTATAGGGGCATGTCTGCCTCCTACGCAGGCATTTCAGAGACTGTCATCCACTTTGTCATCTATGAGAGCATCAAACGCAAGCTCCTGGAGTCCAAAGCCAATGCCAACATGGACGATGAGGATGAATCGGTTAAGGACGCTTCTGACTTTGTTGGAATGATGTTGGCTGCTGCCACATCTAAAACCTGTGCTACATCCATTGCGTATCCTCACGGTAAGCTATTGTTTATTTGTGTAGTTGTGTAGCGAAACTCTCTAGAGCCAGTGTTTGTCTTTTTCTGGGCTGCTGTAGCCCAACATGACGGCCTCTGTTGGAAAAGCACCCGCTCCCTATGTAGATATGAAGCGCTCATTCTAAGCTAATGAAAACACAACAATTCGTAGTCATAGGTGAAAATAATTTCCGCTTAGAGGTGCTACTCAGTGATTTTATATCTGTCTAGATCGGACATGTCGAACTTGATCCTCAGGCCTCATAACTCCTGTTTTTCACTGAACCTTGTGATGTTCTGATCTCCTGTCTGGATACGTTTCCATGATTTCCAAAACTCATTTCCATTATTATTTTTTTTTAACACTGCTGCTATACTAGCGCACATATACATATTAAACAGTATATCACGAAACAATGGATGCTTTGGAAGAGTCACTCAACCATGGTAACTTGGTGTTTGTGGTAGAACTTCGCCTCCATCTTCTGTACACTGGGAAAGCATTAGCAGAGAAAGAAAATTAAGTCAGTCAGAACAGTCAAATCTTGTAGGGGCTGATTAAGAGGTGAATATAATGGCAGATACATTTATAAAGCATTATTTTTATCAACTTTAGTTTTCTGTGACCATAAATCTGCAAGTGACGGAAACATTTGGGATCGTAGAAAATACAACCCACTAGAAGCTGGGGCTGAATGATTTGGGGAAAATATCTACTTATCTAATATTGCGATTGCATGTAACTTTTCTCTACATATTAAGCCCCAGGCCCTTTTTTTGCCAACAAGGCCTGCACATCCATTTTTTCAGACTTGAGGCATGAATGCTGAATGTAGTGTGCAAGACAGCTGGTTTTTAGCTATATAGTTTCTAGTTAAAATTGCAGCTCTTATGATTTGAAAATTGCACTCTTTATTAAAAAAAAAATAATTATTTGTTCCTACTAGAAACTCACTTGTAAAAGTAAATGAGAAAATCATCTTCCTCATTTTTTTACTTAACAAGGCAGTGTAACCAGCAGATCTTATTGGCTGTTAATTACCAATGCAGTGTGCTGAAACCAGACTGCTGTAATACGACGCCCTACTTGCTTTGCAACTAAATCGTGCTCTGGATGTTCTTTTTCAGAGGTGATCCGTACCAGGCTACGAGAGGAGGGCAGCAAGTACCGCTCATTCTTCCAGACCTTGAGCATGGTGTTCAGGGAGGAGGGCTACAGGGCACTGTACCGCGGCCTGACCACCCACCTGGTCCGCCAGATCCCCAACACCGCCATCATGATGTGCACCTATGAGCTGGTAGTCTACCTGCTCAGTGGTTAAACGTGGTTATGGAAAAGGTGGTGGGGAGGAGAGAGAGAGATAGAGGAGAGGTGGAGATAGACGGAGAATGGACAAGACAGAGAGAGATTGTCCCATTATGAGACCAAAGGAAGCAGAGAGAACCAGAAAAAGCACTATTTGCCCCAGGCCTCCAGAGGGTGCTGTTGGCAAGGAATTAGTAGGGAGGTGCTGAGACTTGATTGTTTTGAAACTATAAACAATCGAGAGAAAGGAGAGAGAGAGAGGAAAGGAAAGTGACCAGTCTGTCTATTTCTCTTCTGAATCTTTAATGTGAAAAAGTCCTTTCATTTAAGGACAGTCGAGGGGGGAATGCTTGAAAACAAAAAAGGATATCAAAAGATATCGATTACTGAATTCATTCACAATGATTTTTTTTCATGCTGCTAGCAGTTCTCATGTCTAGTTTTAGTTTTTCCCCATTTCTCAAAGAAGACAGTGTTTGATCTGATAAGTGACTGACATTTTAAAGAATTTTCAAATTTGCCAGTCACGCTGGCAAGATCTGCTGTATGCCTCAGTATCTCAGATATCTGAGGTTGTGTTGCAAAATCGAGCCAAAACATCTCTCACTTGGCTCCTTTTGCTTTTTGTCAGTTGTTATTTCAAACATTCCCCTCTAGAGGGCAGGGTCCCACACTGTTGCCAGATGGCTCTCCACGCACATGAGTCCATTTTTGCTGGAGTTTTTCATTCATGGTCAAAATGATCTGATCTGTGTTCCTTCGCGTACTTCAAAATGAAGTGTTTTTTGTTTGTTTTCCGTTTTGATCTTTAAGCATTCTTCTCATTCGAGTGTTTGTAATGAGCAGACCCCGTTTCCTAATATATCAGTCTAATATAGCCCATGTGATGGTAGATAGCAGGAGACACTGGGTCATTGGCCTTTTACTGGGACTGAATTTTGTTCATTGGGCAAAAAAAGTCCACCACTAATACAATAGGAAGACAACAGAATACAAGAGGTCTTCAAATCCAGATCTCGATTCCAGTTTCCGGTCCTGGATTTTGCAGTCGCTGGCGCTGGATGGCATCTACAGGTCAGATAACTACCAGTGATTTAAAAATATCCAGGTCTGGAAAGTGGATTCAAGGAAGGCCTCTAGGTTGTATCTCCATATACTTACCCATGCGATTTAATGGCAGTCATGAACATGTTGTGGCAGTCCATATACAGAAGGGGTGCATCCTTATGGGTCCACCCCAAAACAGTGGCTTTTGACCATATATATGCACTTTGTGGCCTTTCCAGGTTCACACAACATTTTGTTGTTTCTTTGTTTTCTTTTTGTTTTGTTTTATTTTGAACTTGTACTATAAAACATAGTATTTACTGTATAGGCAAGACAGTGTTTTGCTCAGCAGTTCCCTTTTGAAGTTATTGTACAGATCAATGTACTAAACTTCTAGTGAAGGACAAACCCTGTATGTGTGTGTATATAGTATGTATATGTATGTATGCATATCGAATATTCAGTGTTCATAACTTAGGTTCTATGATTATGCAGTAGGTTGCAGTTACAGAAATCTGTTTGAACATTTCATATCAGATCTTCGGGTCTGTTTTGATGTTTCGACACCCGTGTTTGTTAAAATGTTAGGGTCTCCATCATCCAGCATACTGGCCTTGGACTCCACTCGTGGCTTGAAATGGGAGTCTACGTTATTCTGTGTTAACGTTTTTGACCTGTGTAATGTCCGCGTTTGCGTTTCCTATATGTTTACACGTCCATATCTCGTCCTCGTAATATGAAGGAGTTTTTGCAGAGTGTGAATAGTTCAGCTAGGGACGTTTGAGGAGTGAGCAAAGAGGCATTTGGAAGATCCTAAAGGAATACTGTAGTGTTTTACATCTATAGCATGCAGCTAATAATTGACAACAGTGTTGTCATTTTTTGGTCAACAGAAACTCAGTGACTCATGATACTTATAACAGAAATCTCTTTCATCATAAGACCTGTGTTAGAGTGAAGCAGTGATAGATTTGGACTTTAATTCCACCAATTTTTCAAAATATCTGCTTAATTTGATTGCCAAGATGTTAACAAAGTCCTTCAGAGTAGTTTGATGTGAAATAATTGGTTGCAGAAACCGAATCAGATTTCTTTAAGCTGGTGGTGAAAGGAACCATTTTAACTATTTCATGTGATAACAATCTGTGAGGGAGCTTTTAGAGGCAGACGTCTGGTTCCTATCACCACCACTGTAAACAGTTCTGACTCAGAAGTCTGTAGAATGGCACATTTCCCATTAAACCACTCTGAAAAACTTACTTTACATCAGACAGTTTGAAAAATCAAGGGAATTCCTCATAAATGCTTTTATTATATGCAAGTTTCAATTAAACAGATTTGATGATTTTCTAAGTAAAGGAAAACATGCTTTATCGACCGCATGCTGCAGATGTGGGAGGTTGAAAAATACTGGAGTATTCCTTTAATACGAGAACTCTTGGGGAAACTTGCCTCAGTCTATAATGAAGGTGCTGAACTTCTCAGCTCATCGTCTTCAGTTTGCTTCACCTTTCAACCCGCAGAATAACATTGTCCTTGTTCATATCATCAATATGCAACCCTGAAGTGTGGTCCTAGATAACTAGCTCGGTCCATTTTGAATCTCGAAGTTGTTCTCAACTTGCTATCCACCAAAAACCAGTGTTTTTTTTTTTTTTTTTTTTTTTCTTTAATTTTCTTAGCAGTATTAACAAACGCACAGGCAGGTGCAGAGTCTTAACTGAGCTGTCTCCCATCCTCCTTTGCTGCTAACCAGATTGTGGAGTACTGTAATGATCACCAATTGACTCCTCGCGAAAGACCCACATGGCATTAGCAAGGCGTTAAAACAATTTGTACTTTTGATGAATAATAATGCATGTTAGTGTTGCATGACAGGAGCGTACACTACATGCTAAAAGGCGTTACTGTAGGTCATGGTCATGAGGCTACATGACAACTGACAGATCTACATAAACACTTATGCCAATGGGCATCATTTGTCATCAGGGTTGTTTGCCAATAGGTGATGTATGATTTCACCCAAAAAAGTCTCATGACACCAAATGTCAAGCAGGTGTCCTGCAGCATTGTGAACACCGCCGTACAGTGAAATATTACCAGTTTTAAAATCTGATTTATTTGACTGATGTGTAATGAATAGCTGATATATACTATAAACTGACTAATCATTATATAATTCCATATAAATAACAATTAACATGTGTTTGTGTTGTATTCAGAAAAATAAAAAAAGGTGTGTCATTAAGCGATTAAGTGAACATACATGGTGCTCGAGATTATCAGCTGGCAAACAAGCTGGGAAACGATGGCATTGCAGAGGAACTTTTAACAGCATTTCACACAAGACACCACTTAGAGGTAAATCTTGCCACTGACTTGTCTAGGAGAGATGCAGCAGGATCGATGGCAGGCTTTTAAAAGAGTTACCATCTAAATTCAGAAGTTTTCTGTGACTATAGTGCGAACAGCACACTTCTCGTTTGATGTCTGCATCTTATTTTTGCTGTTAATGAAAATTGGTACTACTTTTGGTTTCTTGGTGGCATCTTCATGCAGTTTAACTGGGTCAACACTAATGAATCAATCACGTCTGCATCTGTAATGTCATTTGATTTTTTTTTTTTTTGTTTTCCCTTTTTTATTTTAAAGTTTTTGTTTATGGTAAAGATGTGGCCTATTCTTTGCTGGCTATGTAATATCATACCTCTTTTTGTACAAAAATGACTAAATAAAAACAACTGCAAACCCTGTGATGTTTGTGTTCAGTCAGTTTCTTTGAATGAAGTAGGAGAAGGGTCAGTGTTCTTGTATCATAAAATGGTCATTTAGGAAAAGTCATTCTGATTAAAACTTTCAAGAGCGTTAATCTTGTTTTCACTTTCATCCTTGAAGGTTAGTTAGGCAATTCTAGAAATCAGTTTTCCCTTTTTCCCTAAATTGAGGTGGTGTAAAGCAGGCCGCCACTGGACTCCAGAGCAGTGGAAATGTATTATGTGGAACGATGAATCCCGCTTATAATGCTATGGGGTTGTTTCCCAGGGGTTGGCCTAGACCCCTTAGTTCCAGTGAAGGGAAATCTTAATGCTTCAGCACCAAGACATCATGGACAATTGTACACTTCCAACTTTGTAGGACAGTTTGGAGAAGAACCTTTCCTGTTCCAGCGTGACTGAGCCCCAGTGCACAAAGCAAGGACCATAAAGGCCTGGCTGGGTGAGTTTGGTGTGGAAGAACTTGCCTGGCCCTCACAGAGTTCTGACCTTAAATCCATCAAACACCTTTGGGATGAACTAGAATGGAGATAATAGTTGTGCAATTAACTTAAAATGTGGCACTGTCATAGGATGCCACCTTTGCCACAAGTCAGGCCTTGAAATTTCTGCCCTGCTCGATCTGCCAGACTCACAGAGTGGGGACCATGCTGAAGCGCGTAGCATGTAAATCACCTGTCTTCGGTTGCATCACTCACTACAGAATTCCAAACTACCTCTGGAAGCAACATCAGCACAAGAGTTCTGCATTGGGAACTTCATGAAATGGGTTTCCATGGCTGAGCAGCGGCATGCAGGTGTAAGATCACCATGTGCAATACCAAGCGTCGACCACTCTGGAGCAGAGGAAACGTAGCTGTCTGGTGGGCAAATCTGGGTTTGGTGGATGCCCCTGGAGGAGACTACAATCAGATGGATAAAAGGAAACTGATACCAGTGGCATTCAACCTTATAAGCCACATAAGCAGCTGCTTGGACCCCCTTAACAACTTTTAGGTCATTACTGTAAGTTACCATTATACTACTTAAAAGACAAAAGATGCAGGAATGAGGGGGAAAATGTTTTGGTTTCATTGGGAGGTGTCACTGCTATGCCTTTGGAAAACAAGAAGATGTCAATCTGGACGGAGAATGCTGTGATGGCTCCTTGTAATTGAATTGTAACTTAATAGAACCCCAAACGGGCATTCATTACCATCCAATCACCAGTGATAGTCATTCATTAGCATCCATGTGAGTGGAGCAGAAGACATTTCCACTCCTCGCTCAAAGCGATCTGTAATCAGTCCAGTCCACGGTTCATTTTTATATTTATTTAATGTCTGGAATATACGGCCAAGAAACTGCACACATTTTCTTTAATTATATCATTTGTGGCCATTACAATAAACTAGGCAAACTAGACCCAGTCACAAGCTAGAAAACTGCAGAGGGCAAATAACTGCCTTTAACACGCTCTTCTTCATCATTCACACAGCAAAATGGACGACATGAGCCTGACTGTGTAATATCTGTAGAACTTGGATGCGATTTGTTAGAATTTGCAGTGTAGGTCTGCTGACCAGCTCCACAGCGCAGGCATTGTTATGAATGACCGTCATGTTCAAGCCGTAGCAGTCACTGCCCCATCATTTGTGTCACACAGAGGTAGTCAGGGTGGGAAAAAAAGGACTGTCTGGCTCGTGATGGAGCAATTTCCACCCGTATACTCATCCAGTCACCAGCAATACACGTTTTTATGCCCCCACTTGTGGTAGTCATTGCTGGTCATTGTTAGCTTCTAATTTTACAGTACATCAGATAGCAAGTTAGCTGGTTTGCTAATGTTATTTAAACAAAAATGTTATTTAAAAAAAAAGTCAGGATTCCTAACTTAGGAGCGTTTATTTGGGATTATATGGATCCTTCTACCAAATTGGCAGTGAAAATTGGTTTAAAATCAGATTTGAGTATTTCGTAGTTTTAACTGACTTTCGACTAAATTCCTTTTGCTTTGTGCGACGCAGTACCTTAATGAAGTTTGTTTTATTAAAATAAATGATTGAACATGACATTTTGTCACTGCAAATGCAGTAATAATGCCTTAAAAACTTTGCCAAATGTTTCAGTAGGGACTGTTTTGGTGGTGACAATTT